CATTGTTATTTCCTTTTTATCACATTTTTCTTCCAAAATTCTTTCTCACATTATGTGATCTCCATCTGTACTAAGTCGTAGAAATATTTATGATACGAATTCTTGAATAAAACTGCGATGTTACCTTCTATCGAATGGATTCCTTGCCTACGTGAGGTTCAGATCGTGAAATCACTCGTAGGCCTGTGCATCGACCAAATAATCATCAGATTATCGATACCTTTAGCCCAACTGTTTGCACACGCTGTCAGATAACGCAAATGACTAAACTCCGAGCACGAATCTCGACTTTTTCACAAATTTCCCAAACACACTGGGCCCATGTTGTTTCGCAACGATAATGCTTCGTGGAACCGGGTTCACGCAATGTTCCCGCTACCACTGGTCAAAAAATACCAGAAATTCCTTGGAACAGGAGTTCGTTCCGACGTAAGACAGCCCTGACCTTGAAACTTTTGTCAAAACACTGACGAGAACGGGCCTAATTTGTAACGGAATACGGAGCAGTGCCCGCCGACTCCTAGGCGGTCAGAAGACTGTGCCTCTTCCAAAAGGAGGTCATAATCGACTATTAACACGTTTCTCAGTTCCATGAAAATTTAATTACCATAAAGTAAAGCCAAGAACGTGGGTATTGTCGAAAAATTTGAGAAAAAACCGACATTCGAACCGTTTATCCATAATGTGCATAGGACATGTCTCCTTGGTTGCAACAGCTAATCGAGGGTTCAGAGAAATACAATTACCATGGAGAAAAAGGATTAACCGTAGCACCATAGACCATGACCATGGTCACGCTGATAGGATTTGCAATAAACATGGGAAAAATCTGATATTTGATTACGCTAATCTCGAGGAGGTTAAAATAGGGATGATCGCAACACGTGAATGCACATTGTGTGGCGTTGCCTGAAAAGGCGGAATGGTTTCGTATTAAACGGGAATACTGGGAGTAACAGTTGCAGGTAGAAGGTATGACTATGACGTGCAATAAAACCTCGTTTTTCGTTTGTACCGTTTGTCAAAGGTGACAATCGTGGCCGAAGTTACTAACCCTTGATGCGAACGCAATGTGGCACAATGAGGGAACACTATGCTCGCTCCTAGCTCATTACGAATTTTGTTGAGCCACGCTAGTTTAGTTAAGTTCTGTCAATAAAACGGTTAGAGATTTTCTAACGTAACAATGTGCCGTGAAATTTTCGAAATTAATTCGGAATAGACTGATAGGCGTTGCGTCTCATCATTATCCGGCACCGGGTACCATTATTTCCAGGAACTGCCATAAATGTGAAATTAAAGAAACGAATCCTTTTCTCTACGGGATTGTACGGTAATTATTTTAATATCGATATTAATTCCCGATTATTTTAATAGCATATAATTTTATTATATAATAATATATTATATAATAAAATATTCGTAATTGTTTTAATATCATATATCTGTCAATTTCCATTCTCACATGGGAAATATGTGTTATATTGTACTATTACTTCTCTATGGGATTATACAATAATTATGTTAATATCGATATTAACACTAGAACTACCAACCCAGTCAAAATGACTGGTCCTAGAATTTTTCTTTTTGCAATTACCGAACACATACACCTGCTTTAAGAATAAAATTGGTACCAAATTAAAATTAAGAAAGAACTGTAATCAATATATTCACTCATATTCACCGTACCGCTGAAATTATTATAATCTGTGCACGTTATAGTTAGGTGCCCACTAAAGATCGGTAGTTCTAGTGTTAACCCTGTGCGCTCGACGACTTTTTGGCTAAAGAAGGGTACGAGTTGAAAAATTTTGGGATTATACAATAATTATTTTAATATCGATATTAATTCCCAATTATTTTAATATATAATCATATCATATAATAAAATATTCACAATTATTTTAATATCATATATTTGCCAATTTCTGTTCTCACGTGAGAAATATGTCTTATATTATACTATTACTTCTCGATTTAAACGAATATTTTTCTATGGGATTATACAATAATTATTTTAATATCAATATAAATTCCCAATTATTTTAATATACAATCATATCATATACTAAAATATTCATAACTATTTTAATATCATATATCTGTCAATTTCCATACTCACGTGGGAAATATGTCGAATTATGAACGATTTTCAATGGGAAAGACAGGAAGAAACGTGGAACCTTCCTGGTAGGAGGTCTCAGGGTGTGACTTCGAGTTCAAATGGACATCGGAGACTGTCCAAAGCGTGTTTCACGAAAAAAGAGGAATACAATAACTGGAGAAGCATTAGGTAGTAATTACTTCTCGATTTATCTTGAGGTCGGACCACCGACCAAGTTTTGCCAACAGACTTTCCAGATTTGCTTATATCCGGCCCTCGCGCACGCCCTCTTCTCCCGCGGGAACCCTTTTCTTTCCACGGGAGCTTTCGTATTTCGTTCACTGTATCGCGGGACACGCCTTTGGACAGATTCTTCGGGAAGGAATTTTATTCCTTGGCAGAGTAGTCGCTTTTCAGCGAAGGTTCTAGGTGAATACAAACGTCTTACCGATACGTCTTATTTGCGACAAAGATCGCCAGGATTCGAGGAAATATCTGGGAAAGTAAATCGTCGGAGAAAAGCTTTTGTCGTAGCTTGTATGTTGTGACAGAAACGTGTAAATACACAACACAGTTTAACTGGAAAATTCAGTAAATATTTTTTCTTTTTTAATACTTAATCCTTTGCACTTTGAGAATTTCTCAGGAACTCCAATATAATTTCTAGAATTGGAAATTTCACTTTGAAATAATTTAATTTTGTTTATCATCATGGTGGTGCCAGGATATTAATTATTTGTTCTCTTAAGAGAATAAAGAGGATCGTATATTCCATGTAATAAATAATTTATGGTCATAAGCTTCCTTGAAAAATAAATTGTGGAACGATTACTTTTTGATTATCTAACACACATATATATTAAAAAATAATGTTATATAATATTATGTAATATTATTATATATTGTAATAATTATTAATAAAAATATGTGACATATTTATTAAAATCGTGTAAATTCTTCATCAATGATCAGACTTTTCTCAGAGCACGAAGACCACGTGAAAGCTGAAAATAGGAGAGCCATGGTACACAGCAAAAGCAGTCGAGGACAAAAACTTTTGAGAACAGATCGCTCGGTGTCCGATTACTAAGCCGTACGGTAAAGAGTTGAAAATCCGGAGAGAGAAGGTCGAAAGCGTTTACGTGCTATTTGTTTGAGGGTCCTTCGAAAAGAGATGCACTCCTATGCTACATTATCCTCGACCTCGAACTATTTTCCTCGTTTCTTTCCCAGCCACCGACGTGAAACTTCAGGTCCAGCCCCATAAACTTCCGTCCCCTAGCAGTAACCTAACCTTACTTTCTTCCTAGATCCGCAGCCATTTTTTAAATCCACTTTTATAATTTCTCTTACACCACCATTCTTAAACAGAACTGACCAACATGCCAGGGTACTTTCGATTTTTAACGGGGACAAGCATTTTTATAATTTATCTTACGCCACTATTGCTACACAGAACTGACCTTCGTGCCAGGGTACTTTTAATTTTTAACGGAACACAAATTGCGAATGAGGGGAAGCAATCTCCATCAGGGTGAAACGAAATCGACAAAGAAGCCGTGATTATTGCGGAAAACCGTAATAAAGCAACCGGTTCCAGAGTGCTGGCATGGTCGTGGATACCACGAGCTCTATGGTATTAAATGAAGGGCAAAACGATCGTAAATGGCTATACTAAGTTCTTGCCCGTGTGCACTGGAGTCAGGTACACGCGCGTCGTCGAGTAACTAGCAATAAAAGTACGACTGGATTTTCTACAAGCTTTTTCACCACTTGGCGTCGTGAAAAATACCGTGGCGCTGGTTTTTATTACACGTGTATACTCGGGACGCTTTACAACGGATGAAGCAACAGGAAGAGTAGGGTAGATCGGTTGGATTTACTTGGAAAACTCGATTATAGCGCAACGGATTAACTTCGGCTGACTTCGAGAACCGTTTAAATTAGTTAACAACCATTTTTGTCCAACCCGCGAGAAATCCACTTCTCGTTTACCCTAGACCTCTTGGTATACGGATTAAACTAATGCCTATTCGCACTTTTTTGTTTCCCCATTTTTTCCTTCCTTTTACGACAGCTTCGAACGTTTCTTGGAATATTGGAAAGATCTCGTAGAATTACGCTCTTGACGAGTTATGGAAGAACGAGTAACGAATCTAGGGTCCCATCCTGTTAAGTCTGATAACATTCCACGTCATTGTGTTCCTCCGCAAGGGTTGATTGTTCTATCCAGGTTCTCATTTCGTTTACTCTTCTACTCTCTGTACCTTTTCCTCAATTCGATTCTGGTTTACTTGGAGAAACGCCCTATATTTACAACAAATGGCGTGGTCAGAAACGGACATCCATAACCGAGGAACGCCTACCACTTGCGTACATCGACAAGGTAAAAAGGAGAACATTCTCTAGGAGACTGAAGGTTGAGAGCCAGTCCTTTGAAAACACCGGGATGTTGGTCAGCATGTCATATGGCCAATAGCCAGTGGCCGCGTGGGTGGATGCAGGGTGCAGATGCAGGAGCAGGCCAACCCTTCCGTAATAACGTTGAAAGAAGGGGGCTCTGGCATGACCCTTTCTGCATTGTGGCATCCCGATATAGCAGGATATACATTGTGTCCGCGTTTGCTCGTCTCAGAGGACGACGCATGGTCCAGCTAACGGTAAACGCACGGTGGGGAACCACGCTCGAAAATGTGTGTCAAAAGGCCGCAATTTGTGGGCCGCTAGAATCCGAAAAGCGTGACCTAGACCAACCCTTTTTCCTCGGTCGTCGATCGAGCTCGATGTACAGTATGTTGGATGCTTCTCTTCGATATCTATATTCGAGATCAAGGTACAATTTGTAAATCAAACCAGCGTTTTTCAACTTAATGAATCATGTTAACGGTATACTTAGAGCTGACGTCATACAAGAGACAAATGTCTACATAAGATACAACGGATTGTACAATTATGTCGTTTTTATCGGGTGGCCCAAGTCATACTTCCCGCGAACACATCTGATCTTCACACCTGGAGTATCTTTTAATTTTCCCGGACGGCACAGCACCATATTGTGCTCCTGAAGATTATGTCCCACTCCTAAAATGATAAAATTATTGCAGAAATATTCTACTATGTATGCCATAGCAATTTTGTTACATATTTGTACAAGTTGCTTCTACTGACCAGGAATGAAGGCAACCATTTCCTTGCCGGTTGATAGACGGACGAGAACGCATTTTCGATTCGCAGAATTTGGTTTCTTGGGCTTCCTGATCAACGTTTTGAGAACCACGCCTTTCGCAAATGGCTTACCATCCAAAGGATTCTTCTTCTTCTTCCTCTGTTTTCTATAGTCTCCATATTTGTGCAGCCTGTATAACGTTGATCCCAACCTCACTTGCGCGAATCCTGAGTCAATTAAATATATTATAGTTAAATACACGTAATGACATGAACCTGACAGAGTAAGAAATTGATATTTCCTGAAACCAGTCGTAGATAAGAAATAAATTTTCGTTACATACTGTGCAATGTTACATAAAATATACCTTCCTACATATCACTAAATTATATGGTGCTCAATTTACCGTATAACAGACTTGACACACAGTATAGTTTTCAAACAATGACACTCTTGATTCCAAATATATGTAGGACAAATTTGCAATTTACCAAAGGAAGGAAAGACTTCGAACGAGAGAACACCTACGGTCCCTAAAAGCGTTTGAACGAAATAAAAGTAGTTTCGAAGCAATTACAGTCACGGTACTTTCATCTTCGAGACACGTATGGCTGTAAAGGGAAAGTAATAGACCGGTGAATGGGTACAATTGGGTTTTCACTGGAAATTCTTCGATTATGTAACAACGAGGGCCTAATCGCTGTCGAACATGCTTTTCAGTGACGAAATCTCGCCCTGAGACACGGCTACTTAACTAATTGTCGACCTCGGTCAGCCAGAAAACGTTGAGCAACGACAAAGAAACTATTTACCACTGATACAACGCAATCCACGACAAATAGAATTTTGTTTAATCATGCTTATAATCCTTCATCCCATCCAATCAAACTATCACACAAAAATACGTTTTACAATATCTTTCTTGATCATCATTGGCAACTTTAAGGATCATTCACTCTATTAACATTCTATTCATACTTACATCTAGAAATATAAAGTATTACATACTTTTAAGAGACTTAACGAACAGGAATACAATTTCAAAAATAGTCTCATGAAATATACATACATCAAACAAATATTTTAACACTGCGTTTAAGTAACTACATATCTAAGCATCTCGTGTTACATTGGCTAGATGAGGGCAGTAAGGTTGAAATAAATCAATTTTGAACGCAATAATCGGCAGGAAAATTGCGTAAATGGAACAAGAAAGAGATATCGTGATGCACGACCAGAAATTCGATATGGAAATAGTCCCCAAGGATGACGGTATCCTAGTCAAGGCCATTGTGAACGGGGCCAAGAAAAATGGGGACCCACAGCGCGGTAACGGTACCGAGAAACTGAAAACTCTTTCGCAAATAATCTTGCGAGCCGAAGGAAAAGAGGGTCTCCGATGGAATATCAAATATGACGAGCGCTTGACATCTGCAAGCCGCTCGACGAAGACTAGTCCTTTTTCGCTCGAGCGTGTATAAGCTTATTAAGAAACATTGTTACGAGGTAAGGTCCACCCATCCTTGCACAAAACGCTCACGATCCGTGAGATCACGTGACCTGCAAGTGAACAGCAATTTACTGTTTGCAACATTGTCAAATTTGGTAATAAAACGCGAAGCAACGAATCTCTTTGAATGCGTTTCTTTAATTATTTCAATAAAATTATACTACTTTGAAGGAAAATTAATCAAGGAACAACCTCAGCAGCTTATACCAGAGATTATAATTCAATTTCAAGCTTCCATATGAGGAAATTGTTACCTTCAGACTTACCATTTAATAATGGTATTTTAGATTAACATTCATTCAAAAATGGAAAATAGAAAGGGAAAATTAAACGTAATCATGTGTGCATGCAAATTAATAGTAATTACGGTCACAGAAGTGATAGTTGTAGACTACTATGTAATTAGGATTACTTGGAGCTAATGAGCAATTTGCTGGAAAAACTGGTATCAAAAAGTGAAAGTACATTTATATCAGCCCGTCTCGGGATAGTGAATTATTATGAATAAATTATCGCCTGCATACCAATATTAGAAATTATTTATGTAATGCAATATTTTATAAAGTAGCTACGTAAACAGTGAGAAGTGAAAGATACTCTGAGAGCAGAAAGAATGTACAGATATTATTTTTACAATTTTTAAGAAATACATTATTCATCAGGGATCAATGAAAATTTCATTAGAATCCTGCGACGTCTGAAATTTTCCTCCAAAACTCTCCCAAACTTTCTAAAATCGTCGTGCAGAATCAATTGCCTACGGTTGTATGAAAAAGATCCGTGGTCTGAAACGATCACGTATTCAACGAGATTCGTAGCTGGAGTGAAATGTCGAGGATGACATGACAATTTCGTGATATTCCTGGACGGTCATAGCAGTCCACGATTTACCAGGGTCTGTTAGTCGAGACTGTGCTATTGTTGTTCACTTCGAGATCTGGCTGACCACCGCTCGTCAATACGACAGATGTCCAAGCCTGCCGCTGCTAATCCGACCTAACTCGGACTTAACTAAGGCAAGAGACCAGCAGAACCTATTATGCATCGAAGGCAACCCCTTTTCTCGAAGATCAATACGCAAGATTACATTGCGAAAATTCTCGACGTCGTGGTTACGCCTTTGTCGCATACACGGCAGCCAAGACACTGGGCACAGGTCAAATCCATGGCTTATCTCTGGTTGCCACTGCCTGCTGAATGGAATAAAAATTTTGCGTAATTAGAAGCTGATTAAGTGGTCTTGCTTGGAGAATAAACATTGACGTTAATCTGAAAATATTATGGGTGGACCGTGACCAACACCTGTGGTAAATTATCCTTCTTTGTTCCTCTGAAGAAAATGGCACATGACCATAAAATTGCAAGAGGTATAAAATATTCCTTGTGCTAAAAAGAAAAAGGATATTACATAGTGATAATTTAATACAATTAATTGGAAAGACTATAAACTTTGCTTCATAATTTGTTACACCCTAAATGGAATTAGATTTGAATTATGAAATTTATTTGAAGGAAAATGGCAAGTTTAGAGAAAGAGTAATTTTCTATAATGTTTATATAACATAGTTCAAATGGTTTTAAATAAAGAAGAATTTAAATGCAATGATAACATCCATTCCTAATTATGGAAAACGAGACTATCCCACGAATGGCACATTGTGGCGTCGCAAAGACTAGGAAAATACGGATAACAGTCTTACTACAGCCTGTACCCTTCACAGGATCACTTCTGACAACTGGTCAACCACAAATGGACACGTCACCCCCTTCGATTCCCAGCGATTTTCGCTGTTGGCCAAGGAAAAGCCTGCTTTCCCCCATTCGTGTCCTTTCTTGCGAAGTAGCCGAATCCCTTTTTGCATTTTGAGATCTCTCTCTCTTTCTTCCTATTTGTGGGGATCAAAGAGGTAAAGCGCTGCGTGCGCTTTTGCAAGCCACGCGCATTTTCGCGACCGAAGAATACAGGAAGAGAATCGTGGTCCCTTTTTAGGTCGACCACCCCTTTTGCCGCATTTACTCCGTTGAGAAACGAAGATACTGATCTGTCGGAAAGGCTTACGGAAACTCGAGACGTCACTTGAATTCCTATAGAATTGTCCGGCCTCGTTACAATTATGGGAAAGGCAAACAGTGACGATGAAGCTTCACGCGATTTCACGTAAATGGATCACTGCTGGTTGTAGTTCAGTTGAAGTGCTAGCTTTCATCTTGAATTCTAATAAACACCCTAAGTTTCTGGGAAATTCTTTCTATTAAATTGACAATTCCTTATAATCTTAGACAATATATTTTTGCTATATTAATACTCTATACTTTCAATTTTATTTTAATTGATTTCAATTTCTATGTGACCAATATACCTTAACGTAGTTTATATCTTAATAATAAAGTAGACTTCAAAGTTGTTTAGAATATTAATATGGAAATATATCTTACCTTGTATCAGGTTTGTAAAATATGAGTTAGTAGTGCTGAGTATATTTCCTGTTTAAACATATAATTGTTCTCAAATTAACTTTTATCATTTAAATTGTAATAATGCTTAAAAGCATTTAATAAAAGAAATACCTAGCGTTCCAGGATTTGCACATAACCGAGTTAACTGTGGTTTGCTGCCTGTAAACCAAACATTTTCATGTTTATAATTAACAATGATTGCTCATTAAATAATTCATTAAATTAGCAAGTAGGTTGAAGAAGTACTCAAAATTATTGGAGTAATCCAATGATTTTATAGTGACAATAAAAATTAATTACTTGTGAATGATCTTTATTATATATATATAAGATCAGAATCATATAGAAGTGTAAGGTATTATTTATGAAAGAAAAAATTATGATATTCTGTATTTTGATAGGTTAGGTTAGAGGTTAAGCGATAAAATAATTTCATTTCTGTAACATAATAACTGTACCTTCTATAGAATTTGCGAGACATGATCTAGCTGCGTTTACTATATTTCTTGCTAGGAAATTCATGTCGATTCTAATTTAACTTTCTTCCTTAATAACAAACACACAATCACAAAACACAAGTGGACATTTAAAGAACCTTTTCACAATTCTATCTAGCGACAGAATATCGAACTTTGTCTTGTTATCAAAGTGTAGATAGATAAAGTCCATTTCTGTATTATCTTTATCTTAGACATAAACCCTTTGATTACTGATTAATAAACGAAGAAAAATGATTAATTTCTCCGTTAAATCTTCAGAAATGAAAACTGATTTCATTAAAATAGAAGATGATTTATAATTAACTGTTTTCTTAATAATTAATTAATCTTAAGATATATATTAAACATCCTAGGGAAAAAATAATAACACTGATTAAAAAGTACCAAAATTTATTTTATATTACAAAAACACCTTTAGACATTAGATATGTTAAAATGGTGTATTATCACCGATTAAAGCTCAGAGCATTTAATACTGGTTTCTTCACCATCCGTAACCTCCGGAAAGACCATGTCCACCGGAAAGACCATGTCCACCGGAAAGACCATGTCCACCGGAAAGGCCAAGTCCTCCGGAAAGACCATGTCCACTAGAAAGACCAAGCCCTCCAGAAAAACCATGTCCTCCATGAAGTCCACTAGAGATGGGAATAGCCTTGCTGATTATTGGAGCACTTTGCAACAAACCGCCACTATGTCCTGCAATTAAAATACAAAATTAATATGACTCATATCGTTCCGATAATACAGTACCTCCATTATTTATAAATTCTAATATCTTAAAAAAATTCAAATATATAATAACGAAAACAAATTTGAATTTAAACCAAATGTATCTTTTTAGTGGCATTTTTATTTTTAATTTCTATCAGTATCGAAACTTGATTTTATAATAATTAAATACATCCCAGTATCACTGAATATAAGCAGCAGTTGCAAAAACTGGAATTGAAACCAAAATTTTAACTAAAATTTTCAATTCATTACCTCCATGACCTCCTAAACTAAGTCCTCCATGACCTAAACCACCTCCCAGACCACCAGAGAGAAGGAGGCCTCTCTTCTCGATTTTCTTTTCTTCAGATTCAGCAAATGAGGGAGCCACCAAGGCGATGACAACGAGAACGATCTATAAACAAAGAGTTAACCGTGCATTCGACTATACTTGACAATACAACAATCATATATCTTCATAATAATATTAAAGACAAAACAAAAATACGTGCAAACCTTCTAGTGAAAAGAAAGTTTTCAAAAACTTTTGAAAGCCCATAGGAATTAATTATTTATTAATGCTATAATTATTTATTAATACCAATACAAATATATTATTTACATTTCTTAATAAGTATTATAAGCTCTGAATGTTCCAGATACCTATATTTCAATATTTCATATTAACCAACTTGATCTGGATATAGTTATAGAAGTATACGTTACAGTATGTATGTATGATTTTTTACAAATCGAATTACTTACAAAGAATTTCATGTCGGTAGTGTAGTGATGGCGATGGGCGGTTCGCAAATGAAACTGATGCAGTCTGCACAGAATACACCCCCTTTTATACTGGCGGAGTCTTTTTCTTGCGGTATCGCATCCCGGTAAAGTAGATTACGCATGTATGCGCGTGTCTACGTGCCTTTCTAAAGCGCTGTTCCATCGAGTGGCTTGTCACGAAAATTTTTCACCGCGAGTACCACAGCGTTGATAGCCATGTCGGGCCGTCAAGTCGGTTGGAAAAAAATAGGTCAATTGTGAAGATTAGCAATAGATACGAAATTCAGTTGTTATTCATACCTGAAGCGAATAATGACTCGAACTCTTCCTGGTTTTGAAAGTGGTCGATCGAAATCAAAGCAATCGTTTCGAAGGTGGCACGTGTATAGGTTAGTTTTCTTGCATTCGCGAATTTTTAATTAAAGAGGTCGGTAAGTGTTACGTCGATTATTTTCCTTTCTCATGCCAATAACTTCTCTCATTGTACTGCGAACCACGTGTTGTGTCTATGTCACATTTGTGGTTAGCTACTTATGGTATCGTATCGGATGCTTCGAAAGCGGATGAGCTTCTCTTTGACACAGGTTCCAGACGGCAATTTTTCTTCGCTCGATCCAGTCACCGACGACTAACAAGGATTTTGATGAGGATACAGAGACGTTAACTCGTATTTTCCGCGCATCTCGAATTTCATCCATACTAACTTTCACTGTTACAGCGTTCTAAGGGGACGGTTTTCGGTTGCATCGTTACGTAAAAATACGAATGCACGTTTTTTCATTGTCCCCTGCGATTATACTTCCTCCCCTTTACTCCTGTGTATAAATATTAAATAATGACATAAATGGGCAAATATATTGAACACGAAGAATGAGGACATTAAGAAGGTATGAAATGAGCTTCAAACGATTGTTTTTATATAAATATTAAAAATTTCATTAGTAATCTAATTTTCTTTTTCTCTCTATATTCGGCTATGTAGGTACGAAGGAGAGAGGATGCAAATCCTTTTTAATAAATGTTACGCTATTTTATTAAAATCTGTGATGCAAAATGTAATAATTAATTAAACTTTTGCACTTATTATTTATAATAGAACGAAAAAGTTTCTATATTTTTTTCTAAATTGAAATTCAATTTCAGATGTCATCTCTGAAATTGTCTTTCTATATGTAGGTCATAACTCGAAGGCATCATTAGGATTAAGATGGTCTTTCTGTTTCAAAATTACGAGAAGGTGAGTAAATTCACAATTTTGCAATATAGTTATTAATGTAAATGTTTCATCCATCAATAAAAGAGGCGATATTTAAAATAAAAAGTTTTATTTCTTACTCAGAAATGTGTAAACTACTTTTAGACGACTTTGCTGCAATATTTTTCTGATTTATCGATAGTTTGCAAGGTATCGCGGATTTTAATACCACGTGACTCAACATTAGCGCTCGAATCGATAGGAATCTAAAAGCAAAGACAGGTGTTTGATATAATTGGTATTTTTCCGTTATGTTTCAACGTAAAAGTAAGTACAGTATTGCAATTACGTAAATAGAATGCAATCAGGAAAAGTGAACAAATTTTTTGCAGCTTTAGTTGCAGATATTACTAAATGCCCAGTTGCGAAAGGTATTAGGGATCGCGAACGAGGTTATTGTGTAAGATCGATGAAGAGGGTCGCACTTCACATCATTAGATTGATGCTCGGTAACTTGATAAGCGACTAACTCCGAAATTGCAACCGTGAGCTAAAACGAACCGAACCGTGTAAAGCCTGATAAATTACGGGCACGTTTTACGTTCATTGGCCGCGGTGATGTGTAGCCATTGGGGCTCTGTGATCGTTCTTCTTCCTAAAGTACGCGGATCGCCCAGCCGAAGATAATTTAGAATTATAGCGCGTAGATTGTAATAAATTTATGAGCAAATATATATTTAAAAAGTTTCTGGATACGTTTAAATTAACTTGATAATTATCTTGAAAAAAGTTATTCGATATGTTTTCTCTATTGGGTCAATCTATAAAATAATAACGAGAACTGTACGTCTATTTTTATTACCGGTAAAGAATTATTTATGCTCTAAAAAAAAGCGCATAGTCTACTTAGGTAATACGAAAATGTAAAACTACAAATTTGTTGCCAATAACATGCAATTGTTTTTAGTATTTATCTAAAATTTAATTAATATTTAACATCCTACACAGTCGAGGTTTTCTAGTTTCAAATTTTGTTATCGACTGAAGGGATTACTGACTGAATAAAAGAATTGTCGATAGATGGCAGAACAGGTCAGAGAAAATAATACTGAAATGTAACCTTTGAACCAATGGTAGTCAACTTAGTTCTTACTACCTACGGCGTTCCAAGTTTCATGGTGTTCGTTAGGGCTTTTGTCCAATACTGAACCACTTTCCTTTCTTTTAATTTAATTGACTTTTCAAAAACATTTCCATTAGATTTTCATAAAATTCTTTAGTGTTTATATTTTATAACGCGTCACAAATTAAAACGCTTTATTATATGCTTTAACTTGCTGTAACTCTGCTTTATAAATTTTATAAAGTAAAATTAGTTTCCTACTTTATAAATCATCATTGCTATAGAACTGGTGGGCGGTTAGAAAATTTTACTACCAACAGAGATACAAAAATGGACTGTAGATATAAAAAGGTTGATTACCCCTGCTTTTGCTGACTAGTTATGTCAGAAGAAAATGGTTATTACAATATGTGAAGTGTTTGTGACAAAGCACGTTATAATTATATAGTTTTTTATCCTATAATTAATAAAGTTTCATTTTTATTATTGTTTCATCATTGATTTAATATCACAAATATGTTTCGATTATGTGTTACACCAAGTGCAAATAAGACAATTTTTAAAGTGAATATCAGGGATGGAAGATATTTGGTTAAGTTTACAAATAATTTAAATTTAATAAATAATGGAGCAGTAGGAACAATAGAAGCTTCTAGTATGCAGTTTGTGTCAGATTGTAAGAGGCAGTCGAATGAAACAATATCTGTATCTAATAATAACATTCAGCAAAAAAAAGAAAAAGGAAAGAAAACCACATTATTGATAAAAGAAGATTTGAAGATATCATCAGAACAAAATGTAAATGAGTCAGAAGCTCTAAATAAATTTAAAATATTGGGTGACTTAAAATCATTTCCTATTTTGGGTTCTAAAGTAACAGATAACTATGGAATAGAATGTGTCGAAAATAATATAAATTCTAAAATTCCAACTGTTGCATATATCCTTATAAAGACTCTGTCTGTCAAAGTAAACAATGCTTTAAAGAAATGGAAACAGAATATGATTAGTACCTATGGGAAGACATACTTTAATGCTTATTATAAAGGTACAGCATATATAATACAAATATGGGAAGATCATATAGTAGTAATTGTTATATATTTTTAGGTGTATTGAATGATAGCAAATTATTTCATTCTTGTATTCGAAATGTGTTGTTAGATAAAGATATTAAAATTCCTGTTAATATTAAATCAGTATATTTTAGCGTGCAACCAATATTAAGTGATATACAAAAGGTTTATGCAGTTGAAACAAATATTACACATCCAACATTGCGATACAAGGGCAGTTTAGACTGCATTGCTACTTACAGGTATAACAGAAAGTGGCTGTGACGTTGTAGGACAGATATAATTTACCTTATGTGGTTTTAATTTGATATAATTACTGTTATGGTAATTTGGTAAATTGTATGGCAAATTGATTTGTTATATATAATATAATCTAAAAAGGTATTCATGTAGGGGTGAGATATATGTAATTAATTGGAAAAAATCAGGGCAATGGAAAGCATCACTTGCAACAACTTTTGATGCACCTATACAACTTGCTGCTTATATTGGAGCTATAAATGCTTCCAATAAGTTTTCATTTAAGGTAACTATTTAGTAGAAAAATACATATTGTCAATTCAACTAGTTTAATGCAAATTATGTCTAATTTTACTGACAGATACATAAAGGATTGATTGTTATTGGTTATACAAATGGTGAACCTGCAAGTGTCTATGAATTAAAAAATGGTAGTTTACAAGAAGCATGGAAAGAATGGTTAAGAAGGTTAGAAGAATTTTATACAAAGCTGGTCAATGTAGATTAAGGTACTTTAATAAGGTAATTTAAATATGTAAATAAAAATATAAGCTATATCATTCCATTTGTTGTGGAATATATTTAATAATATTTTTATAAGAATAACATTTATGTCATTTGTATAATTTTCGGTACATGACATAAGATATAAATGATTCTTTTATTGCATTAAAAAAGAAGGTTATCTCCTGTCTAAATACTCAATATATTACAGAAGAATAAAAGATTTAACAATTAATAGTAATTTTGCAATTTTTCTATTTTCCCATAAACATAATTTGAAAAAAAAAAAGAATTTTTTTCGCAACATTACAATAAGATAATCGTTCAAAATAATTTTGCACGATTAAAATTAAATTAAATATATTTTAATATTTTAGTTAGACAAATTTACTGCATGATACATTATTCTGAAAAACATACTTTCAAATACAAATTGTCATCAATTGGTACACTCATAATCCCAATATATCCTACCAATGAAAGATACCAAGAATATATCGTACATACAGGGTCGCTTCCCCACCTGTCTACGTTGGTTAACATATAGCAATTATAACTTGGAGGTAGCCACCCTCCGTAGGGCGCGACATTACCCAACTCCCTGTTACAGGCCCTTATGAGCACGATGTGCAACCCTTCGCATACCCCTGGGAACCGTAAACTAATGGTGAAGCTATGTAGCGGAAACGTATCTTTCCTTGTATTTCGCCATATTTGAATTTCGGAGTAATTCTTGGCCATCTAGATTAGCGTGGCATATGGCAGAAGTTAACGGTAATAAAGGCAGAAAATCTTGCTTAGAAACAAAGCTGATAACAAAGTTATGCGATTCTGATGCATATCTTCGTTTCATGGAATTTCAAGGAAATATTACTTTACTGCGCATTGTAACTTCATTCGAATCTGTTTCAAGATTAGGAGATAATTACGGTAAAAATTTAATTTCCTTCGAATCGTGAAAGAAATATAAATTTATCGTTATTTAAATCGTTGATTAAATAAAGTTACAAGAATGTACTTAGCAGAAAATTTTCTTCCTTGCGAAATATTGGACTTTTTTAACTGAGATCGCGGAGAGTGTTCCAAGATTTATGTAGTCATAGTGAGATAAGAAAACTGCTCTTTTCATTTCGTTGCATAGATGGCAGCACGGCCAACTTATAATCTGTACCTTCAATGAGTGGGGATATACTCTCCTGTCGACATTGGCAATATATAGCACGAATTCGCTGATTCTAGCATATCCTTACTATCCTGCACTTTTATATCTCTTTCTAAGGTGGTGAGACAGTAGATTGCCTCAAACGTTTCTCTTTGCTTTTTCTTTTAAATAATACCGACAAAATGAATCATCCTCAAGTTTTTTACCCTGAAGAGTGACGATACGAAGTGAAATTGAATTTTCTCGCGAATGACATCGTAGGGAAAATTTCAATACTGAATAATGAAATCATGACTTTTGATTGTGATTGTATTATGAAGCAGATTTAAAAAATATATTAAGGAGTATTAATATGCTTAAAGTTCCGTAAAAAGATGATCATATTTTGGGATTAGGTGTTTAACGAGTGCTGGGTGTGAGACAATTCTAAATCTTCCGGCTAATCCTCACTGATCCTCTCGTAACAGGGACATATTTTCATTGGTCGGTCAACCCCTGGTGTGAACCACCCTCTTTGAACGGAATGAGTTATGAAAACGATAACTTTTACAGGGAAATCCCCATGGATGTAACTGTCAACAAATCTTTGAAAGAAAAAATGCTTTTCAGAATATTCTAATATTTAAAAAAAGAATGTCTATTTAAGATTTTTTGATAAAAATATATGAAAGTATTACGAAAAATAAATTACCGTTTCAAAGGAATTGTAGAAAAATTAAACGTTAATATCGTGGACTATGCTTGTAGGTGAAACTTATGGCAAGTGATTAAAGATGTGACAAGTTAAGCTATTATGAGAGAGGCTATTAAGCGCCATCGTTATTTTGGATTTCGCGCGAAAAATATTTCACAGCGAATATAAGTGATATTTTCAGGGATACACCGTACGATTGAAATTATTTCTTCGTAAATTTAATTTTCAACGTCTACTTTTGTATATTTCAATTTAGAAAATTTAGATACTTACAATTACTAATTTTTATGTTGAAAACTAAAAAAAAATTGAAAACTCGGTAATTCGAAAATGTGAAGATTTTAAAATTCGAAGAAAGAAGAAAAATGATAAAACTGCGTTTTTAATTGATTTAATTCGTGTTTGCGAATACACAGTTGATATATTATCTACCATTTCCTGCACATTCTGGAGTATCTTGATAATGTTCCTCTTTAAGCCAGCGAATCCTAACCATAAAATTGATCACGTTAGTTAAGAACTTCCTGCAAGCAGCGTTTAGATTTCAGATTACTTCAACGCTGCACCGCCGTAGACAATTTACTTCCTTACTTTCTTACTTCCTTACCGCCAATCGACTTCCTAACCTATTGAAAATCCATAAAAGCAAAAAAAACTTAATTTAACCGCCATAAAAGGAATGCAGGAACAAAGTAAACGGAACTTCAATTCTACTTATCCAAATCTCCCTTAAATCCAAATGCAGCAAACATCGTTCTTAATCACCGTAGAATCTAACGAATCAGAGGATTCAATCCACTTTGAGCCTCTTGACGGTATCATCGAACCTCGTCCCTCCAATCGAGACCTAATTACAACGTCACTTATCCGTTGATAAGCGGGGTTGATTCACCGTCGAAAACGAGCCGATCGGATTTCTCAGCTTGGTCGCGATTCTCGGCTCACGGTAAATTAGCTTGAAGCCAGTGGTGTCCGGTAGGTAATAAAATCATAGTCACGCGATACGTTCGTCCGCGTTGGCTGTTTTCCCCTACCACGTCGATCGTGATAAATCACTCCGTAGCCCATCTTTGTCAACTTGTTTCCCGGTTACGCCGTGGTGTGGCGCTGAGGTCGTTGCATTTATCGCGACCGGCCACGACTTAGCGTCTCGGCGAGTGGAGCAGAGTGGGGGCAGCCATTTAATAGCCGGTCGAGTGTGAAGCGGAACTTTTCTCCTTGCCTCGTAATAACGCCGTGCACGTATAAGAGGACCGCGAGAGAAAGGAGCGTCCCGGGCCAATCACGGCCTAGCAACGTCGAAGCCTCTCTTGGCGCCTGAAACTGGAGCAGGCCTCGGAATTAAGAAGTTTTCATCGCGGCCGCTTTTCACGGCGCTGCTCTTCCTCTGCGAGTCTTTGCCGGAGTGTGAGGGCGCCTACCTGCAGGCCACTCAACCCGACGTCCGGAACTTTATAAATACCGTGGAAGTCTGGACAGGGCGAACTGGGGAAAAGACGACAATGGACGGTCCATCGGCGCTCGTATGCCCGAATTAATCCTTTTCGTGCGCGAGACACTTAGTCGCGCATGAATTATCGATCGTCTACGTCACGCTACATTTACCTTCCGATGATAGGTAATAATCTGATGGCCGGTCTACAAAGGACCGAATTACTGGCCGGATGGAAAGGCGGCAAATCGTACCGGGGCCCGTGAGCCGATAGACTAACGCGACGTTCGCATACAGGGTGTTAATGAATTACGCGGCGTCTGGTCCTGCGTATGTGGATTACAGAACTCGTTGGGTCTGATGACCGGTGGGTGGCGTGTTAGGCTCGCGCGCATGAAAGAACCGGAGATGAACCGGGTGATTAGGAATGATTGAAAATGGCTGTGCGATTTTGCGTAAGCTTGGTTTTCAATGCTTAATGGAATTGATACGTAATTCTAGTGGTTCTTTAGAACATATTTTTGGGACTTCTAAATATTAATTTTTATAAAAATCATTTGGAATATTATTGTAGTATACTTTGAATACTATAATAGACTACGAAGTTATCTAAACTATTTATATATTATATATCACCTATAGTTATGGTATTTCTATGTATACGATAGTTATCAAGGAAAGAATTTTTAATTTTTAATAATTTAATATTATAGTTATCAATCTGTGATGTATACAAGAAATAATAATGACATTTGTATAATAACATATAAATAATAATATTATTTTATTATATGTAATTTAGGTTACAGTGATTCTCAACCTGTTGTTTCTTCAGTGATACCTTGAACATTCTCAAGTGTACTGTATGTAAGCTGAAACTGGTATACTATAATACAATAAATACATATTAAGTAAAAAATGGTACATGATCATATACAATACTAATTAACAATACCTCCCCCTCCCCCAAAAGAAAGGTTATAAATTGTGTATAATTTTAACATATCAGACTCAATTAAACATTTTTAGCAACCCCTAAAAAAAAATTGAAGTAACTTTTTCTCTTTCGTTACCTCCTGTGATAATAATAATTCCAAGCAATTCTCTCCAATGTTCCTCGAGTTCTAGCAAGAACCGCTACACTAAACATAGAATCACTTGTAGAAAGTAAAGTTTCGCTGAATTCATACCTGACCAGAGAACACATTACCTCAGGAACAAGCGAAATACGCGAAATGTGCCGGGTTTGTAAAATTTCGAGCGATAATTTATTCACACCCCGTGTATTATCGGCTCCTGTGACTTTCCGCGAAAATTATCCGAGCTCTTTCTCGCTTGTTTCATTCGCTGTTCCTCCAGCACGGTGCATAATTTAGAGGCGTCATATCGACTCATTAGGGAGTGCATCTGTCGTTGAAATTTATTATTAGCCGAGGTATCGATTGGATTATTTAGTCGGGCCGTTGTTTCCGCGGTGAAAATTAGACGAACGTGACGATAATGAGAATGCTCCACCATTCTGTGGCCGAACGTCAGAATCTCTCAGAAGTTAATAAAAGCCCGGGCTCTTTACGCATCGGAAGATGCTGTCAGGATGTTGAGCATGTTCGCAGAAGCTGCAACTTACGAGGAGAATGCAAGTCCTTCGGGTCACCGATTTAGTTGAAACTTTACAGGTTAATAGATTTTCTCATACAGTTCAAAAATATATATTAT